GACAGTTTGCTCTCACACGTTCTACATTTATAGTCACACACACACACACACACACACACACACACACACACACACACACACACACACACACACACCGGAACTTGGCGCGCCCCACCTGTCACGTCTCAATTCCCCACCAGTGGGTCGCGCCACACACTTTGAGAACCGCGGTCTTAAAGAAACAGAATCATCCCATGAGCCTTAAAGGAATAGTACACCCAAAACATGATTAGCCTTCATTTTCTACTCACCCCCATGCTGAACAACACTCTGGAGTACTTTTTTGATATCTCAAATGCATCTGGAGATCTGGGAGGCTTCTTGCTGTCTGCTGACATTCAAATAATGGAGGTCTATTGTGCCCGAGACAGAAAGGTCCATAAAAGTCCACAAAAACGTGTCAATATTCCTCCATACTGCTCGTCCAATGTATTCCAAGTTTCCTGAGTGGGTAGCATCCAGAATTTACTCGAAACGAAGTCATTTAGAATGTTTTTAGAGCATAAACAGTAGTGTATAGGATTTCCTGAAAGCGCGCACATGCGCGTTCACGAGTCTACGGAAACCGGCAGACCAAACCAGCGCATTCAGCTCGGCAAAGAACTCATGCTCTTCCTCAACACTGAAGTCCTCAGACATTTTTCTTTCGTTGTTTCTTTCTTTGCACAGGTAAACGGCACATTTCTTCTTCTACGCTTGCATTATTGGAAGAGCAGACGCTGAATGCGCACTTTCATCTGGTTTGGTCTGCCGGCTTCCGTAGCGTCATGAACGCGCCGGCGCGCGCTTTCAGGAAATCCTATACACTACTGTTTATGCTCTAAAAACATTCTAAATGACTTCGTTTCGAGTAAATTCTGGATGCTACCAACTCAGGACACTTGGAATACATTGGACGACCAGTATGGAGGAATATTGAAACGTTTTTGTGGACTTTTATGGACCTTTCTGTCTCGGGCACAATAGACCTCCATTATTTGAATGTCAGCAGACAGCAAGAAGCCTCCCAGATCTCCAGATGCATTTGAGATATCAAAAAAGTACTCCAGAGTGTTGTTCAGCATGGGGGTGAGTAGAAAATGAAGGCTAATCATGTTTTGGGTGTACTATTCCTTTAAAAAAATAAAATAAAAAATTACCTGTACTGAGCTGAGATGGAATGCATTTTCCCCCTATATTATCTTAATAAAAATGGAGCCCCTCTGGTGAAATGGGCAGATTTTATTTTTGAAGATGTTAAGGCGTGTAAGGGGTTAAATCATACAGGCGTAAAACCAGGGCTGTCCAGGTGCGTAGCCAGAAGAGTTTTTATATGGGTGGCCAGGCAATAACCAATGTATGTTGAGGGGTGGCCGAAAGTGGATTGGCACCAGAACCTCAGGGTCAATCTACACTGTTCCAACAGGAAAATGAAAAACTAAAGACAAAATATCCTTTCCCACAGCCTTAGCTAAAAATAAAAAAATAGATGCATATATTTAAACAGCTTCCTAGTTAAAAGGTATAGTGTATACAATTATTTCAGGTTTGAGTTCTGGGGTGAACATCTTTTCCTTTGTCATTAGTTAAATTTATCAATAATAATTCTGCAAAAATATATATATTTACAAGTACTAATATCTACATAAATGGATTATTTATTAAGTTTTTATTAAAATAGTTATTTATCTATGATTTCACTGAATACTCCTGTATTACTTGTTGTCAAGTAAATGTTTATGTATAAAAAATGTAAATGTATTGAATATTCCACTTGAGAGTACTACTGTTGCCACTGTATGTATTAGAGGGAAATACATGGCAGGGGTGGCCACAGGGGTGGCCAATGATTGGCTAATCCATCTAGCTCTGCCCCTGCATGGGTTTAATTGCGTATGAATGAGAAGTGGAAGCAAATCATCAATCCAACAACGTCGTCTCGTTACCTATAAGTTGAACATGGGATTATTTACAGAATTACACATAGGCTGCCATGATTTATACTTATAAATCCTCCCCCGCTGTTATGGTATTAAAGGATGTGATATATCCCAATAAATACTTAATTATAAACTTACTTTACAGCATGAAAAGATGCAAAATCCATCCTTCAGCAGCTATAAGACTTTATAACCATAACTGTTCCCAAAATCTCAATACGGTTTTACATTCATGCTGATTTAGCAGTTTCTACAATAGTCAGATAAATAACATGCTGCTGTCTTTTTACACATCTCTGATGTTGCTGCTATTTCAAATATCAATTACTTTAAAGATGTCCATATCTGTATGTTGGTTATTTATTCTCCAGATGCACAGTTTTTTGTATTGTTAAAACACTCTACAGTACAGTATTTAATTTGTTCATTTTTCAAACTCTTCTTTATTATTTTAATCCTATACATTGTTCTAAGGTCCACATTTGTGAAACCGTTTTTTTCTATACTCTTTTTCCTGCTGTAAACACCAGAATTTCCCCATTGTGGGACGATATTATTATAGACATTTTTTTATTCTATTCTATTTTTATAGAAGTAAAACAGTCTCATTGGAATATGCTTTTTTTCTGTATACCAAAAATATTCACCTGCAAAAAATTCAGCTGCAAAAATTCAGCTCCAATACTATAGCTTTAAAATAATTCCCCTGCCAATGTGTTGACCTTTTGGTGAACTCAAGCCAAAGCAATTGACGCTCAATGCATTCAAGCAGCTTCTAGCCAATGAAATGAGCTAATTTTGTCCGAAAAAAAGGAAGTTTGCTGCTGGCGGCTCTGTATCAAACCAGAGCCTTGGCAGACAGGCGTGCCGCACCAGCTGTGATCGGCTCAGTTATTTCACCCTGTCTGATTAGATGAAAAACTCTAATGGATGTCTATCAGTACCTATCTGACGTTTTGCAATCATATCTACCATATTTAAAAAGAAAAACTCCCCATCAGCTTCATTCAGCCTGGAACAAAGCTATGCCCAACTGTTGTGTCACGTGATCAAATTACCTCATTTCATTGGCTAGAAGTTGCTTGATTGCAGGAGTGTAGATTGCTTTAGCCTAGGTCCACCCGAAGGTCAACACATATGCAATCAAAGTTTTTGCAGGCGATTTTTTTGCAGCTGATTTTTTGCAGGAAAATTTTAACCAGATATAAATTCAGTGTAAGGAATTCAGTGTGTAAAATACAGTGTACAAAAAAGGCAGATTCCAATGAGACTGAGATGAGATTTTTCCATATATTTTCTTCTATTCTATCTTATAAAATTCAACTACTTTATATCCAGTTGTATTAAAGCAAATTCAAAATGCTGTCAAAGTATGAGGCAACATTTAAATCTGAAAAACTCACATGAATAGGGAAGACAATTAGGAGAAATGTATTGATATAATTACTTTTGTTAGGAATCTAGTTTGTGTGGGTTGTTTTTGTGTTTTTCTCTCTCCACCACCAGGAGGTGCCCTGTTCCTCGTTGCGCCTCCCTGCCCACCTGTGGCTTGTTGGATCATTACCGGAGGAGTATTTGAGCAGCAGGCTGTCACTACCTCAACAGCAGGGTTTGCCAGTTTTGGGTACTCTAGCCAAGCTGAGATTAGCAAAGTCTAACCAAAGCTTTGTTTCTCTGAGTCTAATCTTGTTTTTTGTCTTTGCTCTTTGGCAGGAAGCCTTTCCTGTGTAACTGGATAATCTGGACCTTCTCCCCCTGGAAGGATTACTGAGTACACACTGAGCAGGGGTAAACCTCCACATGATCCGTTCAAGTACCCATCGGAAATCCGAGTGACAGTCCGCTCCATTACTCCTCCGGGTCCCACGCTTGTCTTACCTGTCCACCCTCCAACTTGTGCACCCTTCTCTGGATTTACCACACAGCCTGGATTCAAGGACTAACAGGCCCCTCTCATACGTGAGTTATCTACTTGCAAATCTGAGAGCTTCCTAGATTCCCACGGAACCTAAACTAACATCTCAACATCCCTTCTCACTTACAGTTCTGGGTCATCAGCTCCCTAAGTACCAGATCCTACTCTGTTTCTCCTTCAATAAACCTGTTAAACTTGTACTCTGAGTGGTTATTTCTGCATGTGGGTCAGATTCATAAACCGATCATGACACTTTCATCCTTTTTAACTAACATTAAGCAGGAACTGATGTAAATTGGAGGAAAGTCTCATCCATTGATCTTTTAGAGATATGATAACTGATCCCCAGTTATCAGTGACCTGTGAACAGCAGACTGACAGAGTAACAGAGGCAACTTAAATGAGATAAAAGAGATATTTTGCCAATGGAACAAGACAATTTAGATTTAAAATAAGAAAAGACAATTCAATTGTCTTATTTAATGTGCATATTATCTAACTATCTTATTTTAAGAGTAAAAACACTCATTCCATTGGCAAATTATCTAATTTACCTACTCAAATCCAGGTTAAATACATTTAATTTAGGAAATTTTTACTTATTTGTAGATGATTTTTCCAGAAATCCATTCACAAATTCCTTGAACACATAAGAAGGAACTAATTTGCTTTTTTATTGCATTTGTGATCTGTTTGAATCTTCTGATACAGAGAGAAGCTGTTTACAAGTCTGCGTGAGTGGAAATGAATAAAAAAACAATGTGAAAATAAAGAGAATAACTTCTTTCAAATGGCAGAAAGATTAATCTTAGATTATTTACAGTGAGCCCAACATTATACCAAGATAACAATAAAATATATCATATATGGTTTAAATGGTGAATGCTGGCATGATCATATGACTGCTATAAACATAAAAAAAAAGGGTTTTAGCAAATGTATTTCTATAACACATTTCAGTTACAAGACAATTCAAAGTGCTGTACATGAATGAAGCTTAACAGTAGAAAGACAGTAGATTATGGTGGCAAAATAGAGATTAAAAAAAGTTGGTTTCAAGGATTCATGTCTTTATGTTTTGGGTTTATAGCCAATGTTAACCTCCAAAAGTCAGTAGTCTATCCAGCTATGCAGAAACATGTAAATTGAAGGTTTTCATCTTTACGTTTTTTTTTTTTTTTTAAGGCTGGCTGACGTCTGGTTCTTTGACTTTAGCTGCTTAAAAGCCAAACACATAACCACCACTTCAGCTTGGAAACTTTTTATGCTGCAGTAAACAAGCATCATTGAGTATAGAGTATTACTGGCCTAGAAAGCTCGACAACATGACAGTTAAATAATTAGCAAACATTTATGTGAGTACACACAGTACTTCTTTATGGGTTTTGTATACAGTGATATTCTTATAAAGGTGCAGAGCGAGTGTATTATATGCCCAACTCCACAACTTCTTGAACAACCTTAGTTTCCTGTCTTTTATTACTGGACAGACTCATTAATCCAGGTGTGTCGGGCTAATATCGTCAGACACTAATATTAACATTAAGCAAGACTACAGTGTTAGACGCTGGAACAAGGATAAATTTAATGTTTAGGAAACATGATGCTCTCCTTGTTTTACCAAAGTGTTTAAACAAATACTGCCTATAAAACCTTAGTATTTACTCATTCAATAAAAGATCACAAATAAAACACCAAACTTGTTTAGTCAAAAATTTACTGGTTTGACAAAACAAATTAATGTTTATTCCCCCATTTAGAGGTTTTCTGGAGAATGCAGCTCCTTTTAACAAATATATACCTTAATATCAGAACTCCTTTGAATCCTGAACTATGTACAGCAATACAATACATACGAAGAAAAAACTCACAGGGATGGGAGTCTCTCTTAGGGGGTCATTGGAGGTCACTTTTTAATTTGAATTACTACAATAGAGATTTTTAAAATTTTTATATCATTTAATTTACGGAAAATAAAAGGATAAAAAAATAAGATTTGCTTTATTATTTAAAAATACAAGACATATTTTAATTTTATTATCTGATATATGGGCAGATCCACTTCTTACTTTAGAATATTACAGCCCTAATAATAAAGAAGCTCCTTACTCGCTCCTCCCTCTGTGCTTTGCACTTTCCTTATGTAATGTTAGCTAACAAAAAAAAGCAGAAGAATGAGGATGAAGTTCAACAGCGGGATAGAGGGCCTCACTGAACCTCAGATCTTTGTAGGTCTGAAGATGACTGCAGCTGTCATTAGACACTTTATAGAAAGATATGCTGCCAGCCTCATAATCCAGGTACACTCCAACACGAGAGCAGCGCAAAGAGGAGACAAAAGTACCATTGTTTTTATGCCATATGTAGCAACCATGTCCTGAGCAACTCTGGGACCAGGACTTTTCATTCATCCCAAACCTGCAGTTCACCGTGTCTCCTTTTCTGTTGATGCTTTTGTATGCTAGGCCAACAGTGCAGGGCTCCACCACATCCACCTCAAAGTAGCAACGCTCCTGTAGGCCCTGTTCACACAGGACCTGAGCGTAGTGCTCAAACCTTTCTTTGTGATCAGGATAGGGCTGCTCTTTCTCTACCCAGGTCACCTTTCTGTTCCCGTCAGATAGAAGCACATTCTTATGTGCTGTTTTGGAGTCCAGAGTAAGTGTGCAGGCATCTGGAAAAACAAAAATAGCTCCAGATTAGAGTATAAAGTCTGAGCGATTAACTGGCGGGCAATTTATTGGGCCTATTTTAGCGTCTGGCTCAATAGTTGACATCTCATTACCATTCATCTGACCCAACTGATTCAACCTCTATTTAACAAGCCTTCAGACAGTCATCAGTGCCAGATTATTTGAGCCTGTGTGGAGAGTACTCTAGCATACCTGTGATTTCTGATTGCCTGATTTTGACCTGTTCTGCCCCTGGACCTCTGAGTCCACCTGTTCCCATTCTGATCTGTTTGCCTGACCTGTCTTTGGGCTCCCGATTAATTTTTGCCTGTCTGTGAATTGAACCTGGAACTGTTTCCGGACTCTGTTCTGGATTTCCCCTCGGCATCTCTGATCTCCTGGCTCTGACTACTTAGCACGTCACCGACACTGGCTGTGGCTTTGCCCTCTGGATTATCCTGCCTTCCTTCATCTGCTCGGTTCTCATCTCCTGCCTGCACTCCGACCACCGATGCATCGGCATCTGGGACACTCTGGGAAGAACCCTTTTCGTTGTGCTGGCAGTCGACCAGCTGGAACCATCCTTACCATTTTTGCTCGGAATAAACTATTAGACTAGGTTAGTGACTCACACGTTCTTTATCATCAACCTCCAGAAAGATGTGGTCACTAACCTGCTCTGTCTCCTCCTGCAGAGGGTCCAGCCTTAGATGCATCTAAGGGGGGGGGGGGTTAGATTTCATCTATAAGAATAGATTTTATTCCATTAGTCCAAATGGGGGGAGGGAATTGGTAACAACCCACCAGTTACTGGACGGACTTCCTAAGCCTCCGCCACTTGTTGCATTTTATTTGGCCATTTCTGTTTTAAATACCGGTCTTTGACAGTTGGAAAGTACTGTTGGTGTTGGTTTTATTTATGGTTTAAGTCCAGCCACATAGGAACAATGTGACATTTGTGTAGTTTTTTACTCCCCAGAAAAAAGGAACTAAAAATAAAAGTTATCTACTTACACTTTTTGAATCCTGGTTTGATCCGGTTACTTCCAACATGTTCAAAACTTTAAAGAGAGATCAGAGTTAGAAACCAACTTTATTTAAACTACTATATATGGGCATTTTGGATTGGTTTCCAGAATAGAAAGGAGTAGCATTTCAATTACTTGAGTTTTTGTTGTTTAAATTGCTCAGAAATCAGCTTGATTCCTGTTTCCCCTAAATGGTTGTAGCTTAGGTCCAGTTCCACCAGGTGGGAGGGGTTGGACTTGAGAGCTGAGACCAGATATTCACACCCCGTCCATGTGATACAGCAGCCAGATAACCTGAGAACATCCAAGGGTTGATGCAACTCTTAGACTGATTGCCACAGACTCTTGTTATTGGTAATTTGTAGAAAATATCTAAACAATGAATACTGAATAAAGTTGCTCTAACATTAAAGGAAGAAATAACATTATTATGGTAGGATTAAGAAAATAGATTGTATTTAGATCTGTATAAATACCTCAATACTTTGAGTTTGCAGCAGGGACTTGATAGTCCGCCACAGAGCAACTCCACACCTGAATCCATCAGATCGTTGTTGCTCAGGTCCAGATCTCGGAGCGGGGAAAATGGGAACTTTAAACCAAAGACCAGGTGTTTAATCCACTCTGCAGTCACCTTGCAGTCTTTTAATCTATAAGAAATTTACAAGGGTAGAACTGGATGTTAGTTACACGTGTACAGGCCTAATTTAAAACCTGCTTCACATGGATCACTATTTCCTATACAAAAGAACAACACATCCGAAAAATTGCGAGTGTAAAAAAAGAAATCTAAAAACCAATCAAGGAAAAAGTGACACCCATTTTTTTTAGCCTATTTCCCACTAAAAAGTGCGGGTTAAAGCATGTTTTTCAAAAATGGGTCGGATAGCTAAAAATCAGCATTTGGCTCCTTTCCCATTGGCAGGGGTCTAAGTAATAGCTTGCAAGCTGCACTGCCTCTGTCCCTGCATCGCTGCATGTCTGGTGACACCATCATGCTGGGTTGGCGTTCTTGATGTCACCCGGGAGTTTAGTGGCTGTGGGAAATGCTCACTGATGTGTCTCTAGCCGTGTCAAACGACTCGGCAAACGATCTGTGTTAAAATCGCCTCGGCTCTGATTGGCATGCTGTTGGAACACCAGACCAAGTGTTACAGGTGGTATGGTGGGCGTGGTCCAAGCAGTATAAAAGCGGAAGCTGCAAACTTTCTTAAAAGGTGTCAGTTTCCATGGGACGCCAGGACGTATCTGGGTTCCACACGTAGATTTGTCAAGAATGTGGGTGAGTGTTTTTAGAGTGTGCTTATATTGAACTTTTATTATGACGAATGTAAATTTTAATCATTCTTTTCCTTGTTAGGAGGCCCTGCGGGTTTTTTAGACCAGGCTGTGTATACAGGCAGATGAGGGTGGTGTACGCGATACAGGTATTTTTTGAGATTTTAAGGTAGTTATTAAAATAATATTTTGATTGTATTATTTTTGTAATTTGGTGTTTTCTGTTTGTTTACAGAGATGTTTTTTTTTGTTGCTCCTGCTGTCCTTAGGTTTATGTTTTGTTTCTTTTAGTTAGTCCGACCCTGTTTGATGTCTTTGGTCCCGTTGTTTACTTGTGAGGGCGGACTAACTGTTTTGTTTTGTTTTTTTCATTGATCTGTTTGTTTTCTCCTTGTTCACTCTCCCACGAGGCTGTGAGCTGGTAGACAATGTTATATTGCATCTGATCGTCTGCAGTGCCGAGTGGTGATTGTGTGCAGTGTTTTTTTCACCTGATTGCTGTGAAGCCTTATACGTGTGCGACTTTTCTGGTTCTGATTATGCGGGTTTGTCCGCCATCCACTAATGTCAGAGTTTAAATATTATATTGTCTACCCTAGGCTATCAGTTTCGTAGAAGGAGAGGTAAAGGATTTTCTGTCTATTTGTTTAATAAAGAACGTATATTTTTAGGACTGAGTTTGTTTCATCCTTGCGCGGGTGGTTACATTTGGCGTTGCTTGGTACTGTACGTTCCTTTCCTTTGAAAAGTTACTTTTTTCTGAAGTTTTTTTCTCTTTTTTTTTTTTTTGGAATTAGTTTAAGGACAGCAGGGGCAGCAGGTGTTTCTGGCTGCTTGCACATTGCAGACAGGCATGGAGGAGGACTCTGAGAAACACGCCATGTCACAGCGTATCAGAGAGCTGGAAAGTCAGCTGGCAGAGCTGCAAGCAGCTGGTGGGGATTCTGAAACGCCAACTACCTCTACTGGAACCACTAGCGGGAGGCCTACGTTTTCAATCCCACAAGCTCCGATTATATATGTACAGCAGGATCGAAAGCTGCCAGTGTTTTCTGGACATTTGAACAGCAATGACGCGTGGACTCTGGAGGAGTGGATAGAGCGAATAAGGCATTTTGCCGAATCGAGGGGCTGTACAGAGAAGGAGCGTGCACAAATAGTGTTTGATCATCTGGAGGGTGCCGCTCGTACGGAGGTTAAATTTTTACCCCCGCAACAACGTGAATGTATGGACTCTATTTTTAACATTTTGAGGGAAGTTTATGGATGTATGCATTCTCATGTCTCATTACAGCGTCGGTTTTATAACCGCAAACAACAAGATGGTGAGTCTTTAATCGATTATTCCCATTCTTTGATGGACTTAATGGACATGATTGTTAAAAGTGATGCTCAAGTTGTTTCGAGAGTTGTCTCTAAAGACTTGCGTGATCAATTCATTGATGGAATCAGGGATCAAACCTTGAAAATAAGACTGAGAGACCTGGTTAATGCCAATCCTAACTGGACAATCCGAGAGGCTCGAGCTGAGGCAACAAAGTGGATGGCTCAGTGTGGTGCTCCGTCTAAATCTGTTCGTTTGGTCTCTAATGAAACTGTTGTATCTTGTGAAGCTACTACTGGTTCATCTCAATATTTAGAATTAATGTCTCTGCTAAAAGCCCAACAGACCCAACTAGAGTTGGTGGTTAAAGCACTGGCTCCACAAAGTTTACCTCCAGCAAGGGGCCGCTTCAATAGGCCCAGGCGCAATGCGGATGGAAAACCTATATGCTTTAGGTGTGAGCAGAGCGGCCATATTGCAAGAAACTGCCCGAATAATATTCAGAATGAAGCTAAAGAGGATAACCAAAATGAATCAAAGTCTGCGGGAAACTAGAGCCCGCCAGTGTGCAGAGCCAGACATTGGTGGGGGGACAGATGGGCTCAGATGACATAGATTCTGAATTTGGTAACCTGGTCGGTAAGTGCTTTGAGGCTGAAATAGACTTTGCTGGAGTCAGTGTCCCCTGTCTATTGGACAGTGGGTCCATGGTAACCACTATAACTGAGAGTTGTTTTAATGAAAACTTTTCTCATTTATCTGATAAGAGTCTAAGGGATTGTGGGTGGTTAGGTTTAAAAGCTGCAAATGGTTTAACAATCCCGTACCTTGGTTATATTGAACTGGATTTGAATATTTTGGGTGTGCTGATTCCTCGTCGGGGGTTGTTGATTGTGAAAGATCCATCTGACATTTACATGAGACAGAAAAAAACCGCTGTACCTGGGGTTCTGGGCATGAATGTGTTTAACCCCCTTTATCAAGAACTGTTAAAGAGATATGGCGCTGACCTTTGGGGGGCCCCAGAGATTAAATCCGCACCACCAGGGCTGAAGAAGATCCTGAGGCATTGCCAGGTGATGGAGGCCATGGCCAGCTCTTCAGAACCCTACCCAGTGAGAGTACAGGGTAAGGATCCTCTGTGTATTCCAGCTGGTAGTCTTAAGTATGTCCCTGTTACCTGTCCAAAGGTATCCTTACACCAGGCTATAGAGCTCATGGTGGAGCCTCTGGGCCCAGAGTACACCAGCCTGCCTGAGGGATTGTTGGTTTCACCTTCCTTAGTGAAGGCAGAGCAGGGAAGGACATTTGTGCCAGTTACTAATGTCGGCACAACTGATGTTCTGTTAACACCACGCAGAATAATTGCAACCGTTCAAACTGCTGAAGTTGTTGAGGAGCCATCTCAAACTCAGGTTTCTGTTGATTCACAAAGTGGTACAGCATTTATTGTGAGTCAAGAGGCCACTAAGAAGTGTCAATTTGACTTGCCAGAGTTTGAAAATTTAACAGAAGGTGACCGGCAGCAGGCCAAATCTCTTTTGCTAAAATATAGCGGTATTTTTGCACAAAATGATTTGGATGTAGGATGCACAAATTTGATTAAGCATGAAATACCCTTGCTGGATGAGAGGCCAGTGCGTCAACCATACCGTAGGATCCCTCCTTCCCAGTATGAATTGGCTAGAAATCACATTCAACAGTTGCTTCAGAGGCAAATAATTCGGGAGAGTAGTAGTCCATACTCTTCCCCAATTGTTCTGGTGCAAAAAAAGGATGGTAATTTACGAATGTGTGTCGACTATCGGTTGTTAAATTCAAAAACCAGGAAGGATGCATTTCCTCTTCCCAGAATAGACGAGTCTTTGGATGCTTTGGCTGGAGCCCAGTGGTTTTCTACTTTAGACTTAGCAAGTGGCTATAGCCAAGTTGAAATGGCAGAGAAAGACAAGGCAAAGACAGCATTTTGCACTCCTTTCGGTTTATTTGAGTTCAACCGTATGCCCTTTGGTTTGTGTAACGCACCAAGTACATTTCAGCGGCTCATGGAGCGTATTTTTGGGGATTGCCGCCACCAGTCTGTTTTGCTATATTTAGATGATTTGATTATTTTTTCTTCTAGTGTGCAACAACATCTGCAAAGACTGGATCAAATCTTTTGTCGACTAGAAGCCCAAGGATTAAAGGTCAAACTTTCTAAATGTAATTTCTTCCAGAAAAGTGTTAAGTATCTGGGTCATGTGGTATCGGCTGAAGGTGTTTCCACTGATCCAGATAAAGTGGCTGTAGTTAGAGAGTGGAAGCGACCTGAAAACCTGGCTGAGTTGAGATCATTTTTGGGGTTTGCGTCTTACTACAGAAGGTTTATTGCTGGGTTTTCAAAGATGGCTAGCCCAATGAATCGGCTGGTGACCAAACTTCTTCCATCTGGTAGGAAGGGTAAAACCCCCAAGAAGCCTGTTGCTGGGTTCTGGGATACGGAGTGTGAGGAAAGTTTTGTTAAACTGAAAGCTGCTCTTATAACCACTCCTGTCCTTGCTTATGCAGACTTTCAGAAACCATTTACATTGGACGTAGATGCAAGCCATGGGGGTTTGGGCGCAGTCCTGTCTCAAGAGCATGAGGGTAAGTTAAGACCAATTGCTTTTGCGAGTAGGAGTTTAAAACCTACAGAGCGTAATATGAATAACTATAGCTCAATGAAGCTGGAGTTGGTCGCCCTCAAATGGGCTGTCACAGAAAAGTTTAGGGAATACTTGCTTGGAAATAAGTGTACAGTCTATACAGACAATAATCCTCTAAGCCATTTGAAAACGGCAAAATTAGGTGCTGTTGAACAGAGATGGGCTTCAGAATTGGCTTCATTCGATTTGGAAATAAAGTATCGTCCTGGCCCTCAAAACACAAATGCAGACGCTCTGTCCCGCCTTAATCACCCTTCTAAGGGTGAAAGGGAATTATATGGGGTACAGGCAGAAGTGAGTACACTCCCTGGTCTAGATATGGGTGATCTCTCCATTCTGCAGTCTCAGGATCCCATCATAGGGAATTTTCTTAAGTATTGGAGGGAGGGCATTATGCCAGATGCAAAGGAGAGGCAGTTGCTTAGTAAAGGCTGCAGAGAGTTGATTCGTCAGTGGGGCCGACTTAGGCAGAAGGAGTCAATACTTTATCGTTGTATTCACCAACCAGATGGGGACGGGGAGGTTGAGCAGTTGGTGTTACCTCAGTGTTTACAGGAGCAGGTTCTTCGCCGTCTACATGATGAGCACGGGCATCAAGGGGTAGAACGAACTTTCCAGTTGGTTCGCGCTAGATGTTACTGGCCAAATATGTACAGTGATGTAGAGAATTGGTGTAGGAGCTGTGAGCGGTGTGTACTTTCAAAGGCCCTCCAACCTAAGGTGAAGACCTATATGGGCTCAGTCAAAGCATCTCGGCCACATGAAGTTTTGGTCATAGATTTTACTGTATTGGAGCCTTCCACGGATGGGAAAGAAAATGTTTTGGTTATGACCGATGTTTTTTCAAAATTTACTCAAACCGTGGCAACTAAAGATCAGAGAGCAAGCACAGTTGCTGAGGTTTTGGTAAAACATTGGTTTCAGCCATTTGGCCCTCCGGGTCGTATTCACTCAGATCAGGGCAGAAGTTTTGAAAGTAGTCTTGTCCAGCAGCTCTGTAAAATGTATAATATTGAGAAGAGCCGCACAACTCCTTATCACCCCCAAGGTAATGGCCAGTGTGAGCGGTTTAACCGCACACTACATGACCTATTGCGAACCCTTTCTCCTGAGCAAAAGCGTAGGTGGCCTCGTCATTTATCTCAGGTAACTTATGCCTATAACACCACAGTGCACCAGTCCACTGGCAGGACCCCATATTTTTTTATGTTTGGCAGGGATCCGAAGTTGCCTGTAGATTTTTTAGTGAGAGAGGAACCTGAGTCGGATATCCCCCTCGAAGAGTGGGTGGAGGAACACCAAAAGTCATTATCATCTGCTTATGAGTCTGTGCAGAAGAGACTGGAGAGTAAAAGAGCAGAGAAGAGGCAGAGGGAACAGGGCCAGGCTATGGCATCAGAGTTTGAGGAGGGCGACCTGGTTTTTACCAGGAATCATTCAGTCAGAGGGAGGAACAAAATTCATGATTTTTGGGATTCTACCCTTTACCAAGTAGTTCGGCCTCCACCTGCAACGGGTGTAGTTTACTCTGTAGCCCCTGTGGGCCAGGAGGGCCCTCTGCGCCAGTTACACAGAACAGAGCTTAGGGGTGTGCCCAAGAGTAGGGAGGATAACACTCCTCCCAGTGTCTGTACAGAAAGGGAACAGAACGAGTTAAGTGAGGACGATGCTGTTCATGTTTCTGAGGTAATAGATTCTGTACCAGGGTTGCTTAATGATGTAAATGGTTCACTTCTAAGTGACAAGGTGTCTGATGTTGAACAGCTTCCAGGTCCGGGTCCCAAGGAAACTGACACCCCCATGGTCTCTGGACTTCGGAGATCGGTTCGGAAAACAGCTGGTCAACATTCAAATCCATACAGACTGCCACAATCTGTGCAGGTCAATGACCCAGCATTGTAAAGTTTGGCAGGGGGGATTTATCTGAGTGTATAGTACATCATCGGGTCGACGATGATCTTTGTTAGGGAGGGATGTTACAGGTGGTATGGTGGGCGTGGTCCAAGCAGTATAAAAGCGGAAGCTGCAAACTTTCTTAAAAGGTGTCAGTTTCCATGGGACGCCAGGACGTATCTGGGTTCCACACGTAGATTTGTCAAGAATGTGGGTGAGTGTTTTTAGAGTGTGCTTATATTGAACTTTTATTATGACGAATGTAAATTTTAATCATTCTTTTCCTTGTTAGGAGGCCCTGCGGGTTTTTTAGACCAGGCTGTGTATACAGGCAGATGAGGGTGGTGTACGCGATACAGGTATTTTTTGAGATTTTAAGGTAGTTATTAAAATAATATTTTGATTGTATTATTTTTGTAATTTGGTGTTTTCTGTTTGTTTACAGAGATGTTTTTTTTTTGTTGCTCCTGCTGTCCTTAGGTTTATGTTTTGTTTCTTTTAGTTAGTCCGACCCTGTTTGATGTCTTTGGTCCCGTTGTTTACTTGTGAGGGCGGACTAACTGTTTTGTTTTGTTTTTTTCATTGATCTGTTTGTTTTCTCCTTGTTCACTCTCCCACGAGGCTGTGAGCTGGTAGACAATGTTATATTGCATCTGATCGTCTGCAGTGCCGAGTGGTGATTGTGTGCAGTGTTTTTTTTCACCTGATTGCTGTGAAGCCTTATACGTGTGCGACTTTTCTGGTTCTGGTTATGCGGGTTTGTCCGCCATCCACTAATGTCAGAGTTTAAATATTATATTGTCTACCCTAGGCTATCAGTTTCGTAGAAGGAGAGGTAAAGGATTTTCTGTCTATTTGTTTAATAAAGAACGTATATTTTTAGGACTGAGTTTGTTTCATCCTTGCGCGGGTGGTTACACAAGGTTGACCCACTAATGCACGTCATACCATTGAACGCAATGTACGTACGTCAACCCACTGTGCCGGTCACTTCTAATCTAACAAGCCGAAACAACTCTTTACATTCACTAAACATGTTGCAGCACATGTGAGATTGATTCGGACAAATAAAAGAACAAAACAATAAAGCACACTTACTATGCTCGGCCTTTCTTACATGTTGCCCTCCATTGTTTACTTTTCAGATATCTGTCACACTGGTGACATCATGAACGCTAACCCAGCATGATGGTGTCACCAGAGAAGCAGCGGTGTGGGGACAGAGGCCACGCCACTTGCCAGCGAGAGGTTATGCCCAGCTATTTAACGAATGGGAAGAGAGCCAAATGTAGATTATTAGTGGGCCGACCCATGTTTAAAAAACATGCATTAATCCGCTATTTTAGGTGGGAAAGAGGCTTAACTTTTACCAAAACCCTTGGATTTGAAACACATTCATATTCAACATTCATCTGAAAACAGATACATTTCCTTTAATATATAATAAAAAAGAAACTCACACAGCCTTTTTGCTGCTCCTCACTGCTGGTATGAGCCTCCTTCTCCCTTCATCTGTTGTGTTGTAACTTTTTAGGTCCAACTCCTCCAGTTCATTCTTGGACACCTGCAGCATGTAGGCCAGGGCAGAGCAATGTAGGGGAGTTAACTCTTTCTTTAAACGATTGTCCAGTTGAAGATATTCTTGGATCTCATCTTTGAGTTTATGATCTCTCATCTCAACCAAAGCCTGAAAGATATTGATGCAGCTATCTGGAGACAGGTTCTTTCTTCGGAGAGATCTCAGGTAAGTTAAGACTTTCTTGTCTGCATCTTCATTTGGGTCAACAGATGTCAACATGCCCTGAAGAGGTCTTCGGTTGGGTTCAATCATCAGGCCAAGTAAGAACCGCATGAAAAAGTCCAAATGACCATTCTTCTTTTCAAGAACTTTGTCAACAGTCATCTTTATGAGGTCAGCTAAAGCATAATCTTTATCCTCCAACTTTAGGAATTCTACAAGCTCTTTGGTTTTCTTGGTAGTGAAACATTCATAGACATACAGTGCAGCAAAGAACTCTTGGAGGGTCAGATGCACAAAGAAGAAGATCTTTCTCTGGTAGAAAACTTTTTCTTCTCTAAGAACCGTGTTGCAAAAACCAGAATAGATAGAAGCTTCTTCTGTGTCGATTCCATTGTCTCTCAGGTCTTCCTCGTAAAATATTAGATTATTATCTAGAAGTTGGAAAAATGCAAGCCTCCCAAGTTTCAAATTAAACTCTTTGTGCGTCTGCAGAAGCTTCTCCATGTGGGTCTTACTCTTCTTTTCATATTTTCTGCTTCTACGTTTTGTTTGGGCTAAAACAAAATGTGCCATCGTCTCTGTCAGAGTCTGAGGGATTTCAGCTTTCTCATCTCCACCAAAGACCTCTGAGAATAAGACCGAACAAAGCCAGCAGAAGATCGGAATCTGGCACATGATATCCAGACACTGAGAGGACTGAATATGTGATGTTATGCTCTTGGTGAGAATAGAGTTATTACCAAATTTCCTTTTGAAATATTCCACTTTCTGATCATCGGTAAACCCTCTTATTTCTGTCACCAAGTCAATGTACTCTGCAGGTATCTGACTGGCTGCTGCTGGACGGGACGTTATCCAGATGTTTGCCTCAGGAAGGAGGTTACCCTGGATAAGGTTTACAAGCAGGTTATCTACAGATGTTACATCTGTCAGAGACAACACTTTCTTATTGTTATCAAAATTTAACTTCAGTCGGCTTTCATCCAGACCATCAAGGATTATTACTATTTTTGCTTTACTATAATCTGGAGGATCTTTTAGAGATTGAAGAGCTGGATGAAAATCACTCAGAAGCTCATTGAGGCTTTTTTCCTTCCTAACAAGGTTCAATTCTCGAAAAGCAAGACAAAAAACAAAGTTAATATGTTGGTTTGCTTCCTCCTCAGCCCAGTCAACAATGAACTTCTGAACAGCAAATGATTTCCCAATGCCTGCAACTCCCTTTGTCAGGACCGTTCTGTGGGGTTTCCCTTGGTCCGCTAAAGATTTAAACATTTCCGTTAGGTTCACTGAGGAATCTTCTGAGGACTGCTTTTTAAGAGGGACTTTCAGGTGTCTAAACTCATGCTCATCAGAAAGACTCTCTCCTTTGGTTACGTAGAGAGTTGTGTAAATACTTTTCAGTGAAATTTTGGGGTCACCATTGCCCTCAGCTGTAACCGAGAATTTCTTTTGCATTTCTTTTTGAAGTTTCTTCTTCAGTTTTAAATCGGGTTCTTCACCTGTGGAACAAATCAAACTGACATTGATGAAATCATATCATATTGTTAATCATCATCTAAAACTCTTAACCCTGTTTAAGGTTTAAAATGTGTATAAGACAACTGGTATTTCCTAAGCAAAGAATTTATAAGCAGTTATGAGCAATAAAAAGTTTTTAAAACTTTACCATGTGTTTCTGTGGTTGTTTTTTGGCACTTTGGACAAAATTCATCAGATGTTGAAGACGACTGACACGACTCTCGAGCCTTTAAAGCCTCTTTACAGACTGAACATTGCTTTGGTTGGCTAAAAGATGAACAACATAACAACAAAATATCATTCATTCTATAGTATGAGTTGTTTTATACTACATACTAGGATTACACTGATACCTTTAGCTTCCAAGACAAGACAAAGCAGTCGTGTTTGTGTTGACAGAGGACACAAACGTGATCAAGGCAGCAGAAATTCAGCACAAAGAAATGTGCATAAAAAAAACAGGAACAAAACCTAGAGGTGTAGTTTTTTTAGTCTATGTTAGTAAGTTACTATATTCAATCATACATATTTCAATCAGAACTCTCTGTGAAACAGTCTTGATAGGTCTTACACCAATATTACAATGGTTTTATAGACTGAAAGAGGTTCTTCATTTATTTATTTATTTATTTATCTGAATGCTAATTGCAATTCAAGTAAAGGTTTAACAAATCAGGCATAGTTTAACATGTACTGTCACTGCAGAGCTATCTAGGTGAGGTTTGAATGTCTAAATACTTTATTTAGTAACTTTGAATAAGCTTTCTTTAAGCTTTACTAAAAATGGTGAAACTTACCTTGGAGCTGTTTCACCAGCAAAATCAGGGACTGCCTCTATGGATCGATCGCTCCTCATGGACAGATTGCTGAGAGCTGGAGATCTGCTTCCTTTTACCAATGAACTACAAACAGAAAAGTTAACAAACACATGAGCTACTTTGTAGCTTTTGACAAATTTGATACGCAAAAACCAATCAAAATAGTTTAGTGCTTTCTATGAAATGAAGCATAATTCTAACTGGCAAAATAAGCAAGACCAGAAACATTGCAGTTTAGCATAAATCTAGTCACCTCTAGCCACTGATAGAAAGACACAAAACAGTTGTGCTCATCTTTTTTCACACTATTGCCACTGGTAAAAGTAGGCAATGGTGGCATTGGTCTTGCTTCGGTTGAAGGGGTTGTTGGTTCAAGCCCCACTTCCGGCTTTCAGCATCATTGTGTCCTTAGACAAGGCACTTCACCCGCTTTGCCTTCTGATGGTGGAGCCTGTGTATGGCACGCTACCTTCATTATGTGACAGTATGCCTGAATCTAGTGTAGAGAGCCTTGGTCAAGTCTTCTAACTTGAAAAAGTGCTGTATAAGTACATTTACCATTATCTTATATACAGTACACGGTGAGGGAAATAAGTATTTAAATACCCTGTGATTTTGCAAGTTCTCACCCTTACAAATCAGATAGGAGTGGTAACTGTGGATAATTCAGGATGATTTTTAAATAAATAATTTGCATGTTAAGCTGCAAATAAGTACGGAAACACCTGTAAAAATTAATGTTAATATTTGCTACAGTAGCCTTTGTGAGCAATTACAGAAGTCAAACATTTTCTGTTCCTTGTTTTCACCAGATTAGCACACACTGCAGGAGGGATTTTGGCCCACTCCTCCACACAGATATTCTCTAGATCAGTCAGGTTTCTGGGCTGTCACAGAGTTTGAGCTTCCTCCAAAGATTGTCTGTTGGGTTTAGATCTGGACACTGGCTAGACCATTCCAGAACATTGATATGCTTCTTATGGAGCCACTCCTTGGCTTTTCTGACTTTGCGCTACAGTGTTGGAAGACCCATCTACGACCCATCTTCAATGCTCTGAGGGAAGGAGGCTGTTCCCCAAAACAAACTCTTTGCTGATTGGCAGGTTTTTAAATACTGAAATAAAACATTACAAAATAATGAAAAGAAACATATTTTAGTGAGACTTTAAGGATTTCATTCAATATAATAACCTGATATGCCATCTAGGAAAAGGGTAATTGAAAAACAATCTTAATAGTTCTTAGACTAATATTTTTTTAAGTTTTGCAATGGTTTTACAGACTGAAAGAGGTTCTTCATTTATTTATTTATCTGAATGCTAATTGCAATTCAAATAAAGGTTTACCAGACCAGACATAGTTTATCATACACTGTAACTGCAGAGCTATCTAGGTGAGGTTTGAATGTCTAAATACTTTATTTAGTAACCTTGAATAAGCTTTCTTTAAGCTTTACTAAAAATGGTGAAACTTACCTTGAGGCCGTTTCACCAGCAAAATCAGGCACTGCCTCTATGGATCGATCGCTCCTCATGGACAGATTGCTGAGAGCTGGAGATCTGCTTCCTTTTACCTGTGAACTACAAACAGAAAAGTTTACAAACACATGAGCTACTTTGTAGCTTTTGACAAATTTGATACGCAAAAACCAATAAAAATTGTTTACTGCTTTCTATGAAATGAAGCATAATTCTAACTGGCAAATTAAGCAAGACCTGAAACATTGCAGTTTAGCATAAATCTAGTCACCTCTAGCCACAGATAGAAAGACATAAAACAGTTGTGCTCATCTTTTGTCACACTATTGCCACTGGTAAAAGTAGGCAATGGTGGCATTGGTCTTCCTTCGGTTGAGGTTTACCCCTTCAACCGAAGGGTTGTTGGTTCAAGCCCCACTTCCGGCTTTCAGCATCATTGTGTCCTTAGACAAGACACTTCACCCGCATTGCCTTCTGATGGTGGAGCCTGTGTATGGCACGCTACCTTCATTATGTGACAGTATGCTTGAATCTAGTGTAGATAGCCTTGGTCAAGTCTTCTAACTTGAAAAAAGTGCTGTATAAGTACATTTATCATTATCTTATATACACGGTGAAGGAAATAAGTATTTAAATACCCTGTGATTTTGCAAATTCTCACCCTTACAAATCATATAGGAGTGGTAACTGTGAATAATTCAGGATGATTTTTAAATAATTAATTTGCATGTTAAGCTGCAAATAAGTACGGAAACACCTGTAAAAATTAATGTTAATATTTGCTACAGTAGCCTTTGTGAGCAATTACAGAAGTCAAACATTTCCTGTTCCTCATTTTCACCAGATTAGCACACACTGCAGGAGGGATTTTGGCCCACTCCTCCACACAGATATTCTCTAGATCAGTCAGGTTTCTGGGCCGTCACTGAGAAACAGAGTTTGAGCTTCCTCCAAAGATTGTCTGTTGGGTTTAGATCTGGACACTGGCTAGACCATTCCAGAACATTCATATGCTTCCTATGGAGCCACTCCTTGGCTTTTCTGACTTTGCGCTACAGTGTTGGAAGACCCATCTACGACCCATCTTCAATGCTCTGAGGGAAGGAGGCTGTTCCCCAAAACAAACTCTTTGCTGATTGGCAGGTTTTTAAATACTGAAATAAAACATTACAAAATAATGAAAAGAAACATATTTTAGTGAGACTTTAAGGATTTCATTCAATATAATAACCTGATATGCCATCTAGGAAAAGGGTAATTGAAAAACAATCTTAATAGGTCTCAGACTAACATTTTTTTAAGTTTTGCAATGGTTTTACAGACTGAAAGTGGTTCTTCATTTATTTATTTATCTGAATGCCAATTGCAATTCAAATAAAGGTTTACCAGATCAGGCATAGTTTATCATACACTGTAACTGCAGAGCTATCTAGGTGAGGTTTGAATGTCTAAATACTTTATTTAGTAACCTTGAAAAAGCTTTCTTTAATCTTTACTAAAAATGGTGAAACTTACCTTGGAGCCGTTTCACCAGCAAAATCAGGCACTGCCTCTATGGATCGATCGCTCCTCATGGACAGATTGCTGACAGCTGGAGATCTGCTTCCTTTTACCTGTGAACTACAAACAGAAAAGTTTACAAACACATGAGCTACTTTGTAGCTTTTGACAAATTCTAACTGGCAAATTAAGCAAGACCAGAAACATTGCAGTTTAGCATAAATCTAGTCACCTCTAGCCAATACTGGAGTTGAGGGAGGATGAGGGGTTATGGCATTCCCCTTCTTAAAAAAATATTAAAAATAATCACCCTTCTTGAATTACCTGTGACATTTTATCACTGAATGTCTAAATTTCATGGCTGTTCTGAGTGTTGTAGCTGTCCAGACGATCTCCATCTGAAGTTAAGTTATTTTTTCTGTGATATCTCTGTATCTAAGTGTCAGGTTTATTCAATGATGATTATAAAGTTAATGTGTGTACATATAGAACATTGAAGAAATGAGATGCTTCACTCTGTTTACTGCAAACTGTCATGCAACGGTGGTAGAAAATTGTTGATGTTTGTGCAAGGATAATCACAGTTATCGGGACACCACTCTATTCTGTGATTCAATCAGAAGGAGCATTTTGTCCTATGACCTGATCAATTGCCTTGTCAGAAGAACACCATTCTGTAACCCACCCCATGTGTTATGATCTGCTAATAAAAAGGCTTCTGCTGAGGAAACCCACCAGAGAGCAGATGTGACTGAACGTGACTCTCAAAAATCCCTATTCTGTGCGGACTCAGTTTCTCTTTTATGAACCTACATTTTTTAACGTAACACTAAGTAACTCTAACTGACCACAACTACTTTAAAACATAGCGCCTTCTTAACAACTCTTTTGAACATTTAACCCTTAATTTCCCTGATCCAAATTTCAAAGCAAGAAAACCTCTTCTTTTTGTAACTTTGTATCGTCCACCAGGTCCTTACTCTGAATTTTTAGATGAGTTTTCAGAGTTCCTTTCTGATTTGGTATTAAATACTGACAGGGTCATCATAGTGGGAGATTTTAACATCCATGCTGACATTGAAGGCGATAGCTTAAGAGCAGCATTTAATGCTATCTTAGACACTATTGGTTTTTTTTCAAAATGTGAATAGTCCCTCACATTCTCATCTTCATACTTTGGATCTTGTGCTGACATATGGCATAGAATGTGAAGAAATAGCAGTATTTCCTCACAACCCTGTCCTCTCTGACCATTTCCTAATAACCTTCAGGATTACTTTAACAGAGTTCTCCTCCGCCAAAAGAAGGTTACATTTTAGTAGATCATTATCAGATAGTGCAGTTATACATTTTAAAGAATCTGCTTCACTTTCTCTCTCCGCTGTGTCGCTGAGCAGTGCTGCAGAGTGCAAAAGCTTAGTTTATTCCCCTTCACAGGTTGATGATTTTGTTGATGGGGTTGCTAGTTCTCTGCGTGCTGCCTTAGACAACGCAGCTCCTTTGAAAATGAAAATAGAAAGCTTGCTCCTTGGTTTATTGCAGAGCTGCGCACTTCGAAGCAAAATGCTAGGAAACTGGAGAGAAAATATTGCTCCACAGGCCTGCGGGAGTCCTTCCTTGTCTGGAAAAATAGTTTACTGCTGTATAAGAGGACCCTTTGTAAAGCAAGAGCAGCACATTTCTCCTTGTTAATAGAGGAGAATAAGAATAATCCTAGATTTCTTTTTAATACAGTTGCCAAACTCACCCAGAGCCATACAGGGTTCATACACCTTTTCCAAAGTAAAATCAAGCACTTTTCAAGCACTTTCAAGATCCATTTAAACTTTTTCCAACACCTTACACCACCACCAGTTGTTGGCCGGAATCAGTTTTGCACGGATGACTGCCGGGAGGGGGGTGGGCTAGAATTACTCCTCTGCCATGGCGTAGTAATATAACCAACCAGAGGGTGTCGCAATTCAGTGTTATCAGCCGTAGAATTATCAATGCTGTTTTAAGGTCTGGGCCTGGCAATGAATTAAAACTTCGTTTTTTTTTTTGGAATGTTGGCGAGGCGGTAGCGTGAGTTTGGCGAGGCGGCCACCTGGCCAAGATAGTGCTGCGGGAAACACTGCAATACTAACATTACATAATCACACTGTACTCTCAGTCACTCAGTAACTTAGCCTGTGAATTCCTAGCTAGCAGTTACTAGCGCAAACAGATAGGCGCTATTGTAACGTGTACTAGGCTACTTCAGTTGGCTTACTTAAAAGTCTATGACTTACCCTTCATGTGACTCGACAGCGCAGACTCGCCCATTGTGAAAAGCTGCACATCTTTTTTGCAGACTTTACAAGAGGCAACTCGTGGGGTTTGTCCCCCTTTAATCCATAATTTGTATTTTTCATCTTCCAGCCAATGTTCATTGAAACGATAACCCGGCATGGTGCCGTAGTGATTTCATGGGGGCGGAGTCACACATGGAAATAGACTGCTAGATCGCAGTCACACGTTTCATTTTCGGGCTCTCCAACATTTTATTTTTTAAACTTTTTAAAATTGTATTTAATAAACAACTTAAAAAACAACTTCAAGCATTTTCAAGCATTTCATCCAAAATATAAGCACTCTTCAAACCTTGAAAACACAACGTCAAAATTCAAGCATTTTCAAGGATTTCCAGCACCCGTACGAACCCTGGCCATAGCTTAGTTGAACCGTCCATTCCATCTACTCTTAGAAGTAATGATTTAATGTAATGATTCTTTATAAATAAGACTGATCTTATTAAAAATAAGATCATTAGCACTCCTCTATCGGCGATTGTATCTGAGGTAGTCATGGAATCTGAACTGGGTTTAGACCGCTTTGATCCAGTTGAACTTTCTGAGTTAGCAAAATTATTGTCTTCCTCTAAGCCTTCAACTTGTATGTTAGATCCAGTTCCAACCAGGTTATTTAAGGAGGTACTCCCTTTGATCTCCTCTTCCATTTTAGATGTGATTAATCTATCTTGGTTACCTAAAGCTTTTAAGGTTGCTGTAATTAAACCTCTGCTTAAGAAACCGTCTCTTGACCCAGAATACTTGGTCAATTATAGACCTATATCCAATCTTCCTTTCTCATCTAAAATTCTTGAGAAAGTAGTTGCCAAACAAGTATGAAATCACTTACACCATAATGAACTTTTTGAAGAGTTTCAGTCTGGCTTTAAAGCTGATCA